AGGAGGGAGGATGGATTGGGGAAGGCAGGGGTCAGAAGCAAAACAGACTTTTGAGGAGGGACAGGGTAAGAGGAAAGAGAGAGAAGGATAAACATTATGGCAGAAAATAGGATGAAGGGAAATACACAGTAAGCATAACTGCATGTGAATGGGATGAACTTACCCATAAAATGGAAGTGATAGCAGAGTAGTTTAAAAACCAGGATTTGATATGTTGTTTATAAGAACCATGCTTGAAGCAGAGAGACACACACAGAATAAAAATAAGGGGCTGGAACAGAATCTATTATGCTTCAGCTAATGCAAAAAAAAAAAAAGCAAAGGAAGCAATCACAATCTCAGACAAAGCAGAAGCAAAAATAGATCCAATCAAAAGAAATAAGTGGGGAAACTACATTTTGCTAAATGTCACGATAGGCAATGAAATAATAACAATACTAAACATATGTGCATGATATAGCATCTAAATTCTTAATGGAAAAGTTAGATTAACTACAGGAGGAAACAGTAAAACTACACTAGCAGGGGACTTCAACTTTCCTTTCTCAAAACTAGATAAATCTAACCAACAAAATAAACAAGAATTAAGTTAAGGAGATGAACAGAATTTTAGAAAGCTTAGACATGATAGACTTGTGGAGAAAATTGAAAGAGTATAGAAATAAATAGATTTTCCTCAGTGGCATGTGGCACCTATAAAACAATTGACCATGTATTAGAGCATAAAAACCTTACAACCAAAAACCAAATTCAGAAAAGCAGAAATATCAAATGCATTCTTTTCAAATCATAATGCAATAAAAATTACTTTCAATAAAGGAGTGAGAAAACATAGATTAAAAATTAATTATAAACTAAATAACCAAATCCTAAAGAATGAATGAGTAAAAGATAAAATCACAGGAACAATCAATAATTTCATTAAAGAAAATGAGAAAACATACCAAAATTTCTGGGATACCATCAAAGCAGTACTTCGGGGGGAAATTATATCTCTAAATGCTTACATCAATAACAGAGGAAAAACAGATCAATAAATTGTGCATGCAACTAAAGAACTAGAAAAAGAACAAATTAGAAATCCCCAATTAAACAACAAATTGGCACTCCTGAAAAATCAGAGTAGAGATTAATAAAAGTGAAATTAAGAAAACTACTGGACTAATAAATAAAACTAAGAGTTGGTTTTATGAAAAAAAAATAATAAAATAGATAAACCATTTTCATTTGATTTTTAAAAAAAGAAAGAGGGAAACCAAATTACTAGTATCAAAAATGAAAAGGCCAAATTCACCACCAATGAAGAGGAAATTAAAGCAATTATGAAGAGATGTCAAAAAGTTTAACAGATGAGGCATAGACATAGCAGAGGGCCTGGCACATAGCAAGTGCTTAATCAATGCTTTTTCTATCTATAAAGTAATGAATTATCATTAGTATGTTGTAGTCTGAAGAGCCCTGGCTCTGAAGCCAGAAGGCTGGAATTCAAATCCTTCCATTGACACTTAACTTCTGCATGATCTTGGGCAAGTCACAACCCTGCTGAGATTTCCTCACCTGCAAAATGAGGCATTTAAACTAGTTTATCTCTGAAGTCCCTAAATAGTCAATAAATAGCCAATAAACATTTATTAAGCACCTACTATATGCCAGGCATTAGACTAAGTGCTGGGTACACATATACCAAAAAAAGAAAGACAGTCCCTGCCCTTGAGAAGCTTATATTCTAATGGGGGAAGACAGCACACCAAAGAATGAGGAAGAAGGAGGAGCAGGTAGGTGGAGAAGTCCATCAGAGAAGTCCCAAAGTAGTTCAGCTGGATGAGAAATGAGGGGATGTCTGAGCTGAGCTCCTTCCTCAAATGGAGGTTTTGGAAGTCACGGCCTCATCGTCCAATGAGAAAGGCAGAAAGTGGTGAAGAGGCAGAGTCCCAAGGCTGATGGTATTGTGTAGGGTGATGAGGTTATCCCAATCAGGAGCTTTCAGGGAAGTGGAGGAGAAGGAAGGCAGAGCAGTCTCAGAGTCCTACAGCCAGTTGAGAACAGAGATTAATGATCTTAAGATTCCATTCCCTCAAGGAACTAAGGGAACAGAGGGGACCTGAGATGCCCACTGAGAACTATTGTACAAGCTATAACATGCATGGGAGAGGTCTGAGCAGGGTTGGGTGAGAGACTGATCAATTGATATGCATTTATTAAGCACTGAATTTGCCTCTAAAGTATGCCCTAAAAGATTACAGAATTTTCAGGCAGAATGGGATAGTGGAAAGAGATTTGGAGTCAAAAGTTGTCTCTTATGTTCAATGATGGGCTCCTTGAGGATAGAGGCTGAACTTCTGGCTTATTTCTTTAATTTGTTTTTGTTTTGTTTTGTCTTTTTTGTATTGTTGCTGTTGTTCAGTCATTTTTCAGTTGTGTCTGATTCTTTGTGACCGCATTTGGGGTTTTCTTGGCAGAGATACTGGAGTAGCTTGCCATTTCCTTCTCCAGCTCATTTTATAGGTGAGGAAACTGAGGCAAATAGGGTTAGGTGACTTGTCCAGGCTTACACAGCTAGTAAGAGTCTGAGGCCAGGTTTGAATTCATGTACATACATCTTCTGATTCCTAGCCCAGCACTCTATCTGCTGCACCACCTTAGTATGGTCAGCACTTATCACAGTGCTCAACACACAGTACAAGCTTTATAAGTGCTTATTGACTGACTGAGTTCAATGCAAAACTCTGCTACTTCCTGGGTTACATTTGCCAAGTCATTTAAGTCACCTGGGCCTCAGTTTCTTCTATTATAAAATGAGGGGATTGGATTAGATGCTGTCTGAGCTACTTAACTGCAAAATGATGTATTCGGAAAAAATCACGAATGTGAATAAAAGACATATGCCCCCTTCCTCTTCCTCCACAAGGAGTAGTGGAAGCCTCTTCCTGTTCCCTTCAAATTGTGACAAAGCTCCTATCCCCTTGTAGTTCTCCTCAGCCTGAGCTTTCTGGACCTGAGCCTTGGGTCCGGAGCATTATGGGAAGGTGAGTCCTCTCGGACAGCCTCCTACCTGGCCCTTTGCCGAGAGGATCTGGGAAGGCCAGAGAAAAAAAAGGCTGACCAGCTCCTGACTGCTTGCCAGGACAACCAAGTCGTATCCCCAGGAACCATGACCAGCAGGATTCAATCTCTAGGGAAAAGAGCACATTAAAGAAAGAAAACTTGGACAACTAGAAGAGAGGCCTTAATTAATATTCTCTGCCATCAGCTCTAAATCTCCACACAGAGAAAAGGGAACTAAGGAGTGATGATTTAAGTGGGGATGTAAAAAGCAAAGCGTTGAGTCGTTAAAATGAAGACTGTATAAAATATAGAAAGTCAAGTAATGAGGCAGTTTGGGAGGAGAAAACTACATAAATAAACAGAGGCAAATGGAAAGAGATAAATTGGAGGATGGGATTCCAGGGTCCCCACCACCCCCATGAAGCCACTCTGTCATGTTTTCAGAAAACACCAGCTATCAGAGAAACCATTGTCCACTGAAGGCCGAAAGGAGAGACAGGCATATGACAAGATTGATTAGCATTTGCTTTTTGCCTTTATATTCCTTAAGAAAGTAGTAGGAGAAAGAGAGAGGGAGAAGGGAGAAGGAAAAAGAGGAGAGAGAGAGGGAGTGGAAGAGAGAAAGGGAGGAGGGAGAAAAGGAGGAAAGAGGAGAGAGAAGTAAAGGGGGAGGAGAAACAGAGGAGAGAAAAGAAAGAGGAGAAACAGGAGGAGAGGCAGGAGAGAGGAAGGAAGAGAGACAACCAGGAGAGGGAGGAGGGGAAAGAGAAGGAAGAGGAGGAGAAGAAAGAATGGGAGGAAGAAGAGAGAGACAGACAAACAGAGACACAGACACAGAGAGAGCTAAGGGTGTCTTCAGGTACCTGGGAGGGCTGTAGAGTTCTATCAAAGGCATTTTGAACCAAAAGAGTATTTACAAAGCTCGACAAAGGCCCAGCTGCTCACTTCCATTATAAGCTGCCTGAATCACTAGAGGCTGATGCTTTTAGAAGGTGCCTTGTGGTTACAGCAGATGAGATTTCTGAGGGGGGAACTCACCATTATTGAGCTGATTCCTTGAAGGAAAAAAGATGCAACGTTGTTCCTCACATTGGAACTTGGCCTCTGTCTCGATGGGCTTTTTCACACGTCAGGAAGGTGTCTCATCTATAAGCTGGCTCAGGCAGCCTTTGATTTGCACCTCGCCTTTTCCATGCAGTGGATTTAGCAGGAGGAGCAGAGTAGATGGCTAGCAGAGCTTAACATTCCAACAGGCACTTTATAAGATGATTTCCTCTTGAGAAATCAAGGACAATTGAATGAAGCCACCTGTATCACCTGGCTGATGCAGGGAGATCCACCTGGCTTGCAGACCCACAGCCTCAGCAAGGACTTCATCAATACCACAGGATTTGGGGGGGAGAGGGAAGGGCAGTTCTCCTGCACCCCCCCACCCCTGGGGCTGTAGGGTATTCCAGGAGGACCAGCCCCTCTGGTGTGGGGGCTTGCCGAGCCTTCTGCAGGGCTGCTCATCCACCTTTGGTGTCCACCTTTCACCCAGCTCTCACCTGTGGCTCCAAGAAGTTGTTGCTTGTGCAGCAGCCACACCCCAGTAGACCTTCTCAGCAGAGGTTGAGGGTTACTGACAAGCCTCAAACCCATCAGTGACTCAGGGGGATGTCTACCCCAAGCAGGTAAAGACTTTCCTCAGTGGAATGGGCAGATAAGAGCAATTTGTTCCAACGGTCATGAAGGAGACTGAAGCAGGTGCTGTAAAGCTCTTAGAGTTTGTTGGCATTGGCATTGTTTTCCTTCATTCTAGAAGAGGACTGTGACATCAGGAGGGTGATGCCATGATATGCAAATTAGATTTAAGTGAGGCTGGGCTATGCAAAGTCACAAGCCTCACTTTCTTCTCTGGAGCCATCTTGGTCCAATGGCAAGATATAGATTGGGACAACTGGAGATGTCTTTGGATACAGTGGTTTAGGGCTTGGTCAGACACTGAAGACACCAAAGTCAACCACTGTATCCTTGGCCATCATCAGTCATCTTGACTTTTGTCTTGCCCCGGGACTTCAGTACCTCTGGAAGTGAGAGTGAGGCTCACGATTTTGTGCAACTCTGCCTCGCTTAAGTCTAATTCACTCATGAGTCAAGACATTACTTGGGATGTCACTGACCCTCTGAAAACAAAGGACAAACACCAGCAGCTTCCACCACCACCCAGTCCAAATGATTCCCTTCCACAGAGGCATTCCTGAGCTTCCAGATGGAACGTTGCTGGCCAACAGAACTACAAGTAGGAATTCTTTCTTCTAGAACAAAAAGTTTTGAAGGCGGGAGTATAGAAGGTAAGATGTCATGATGTCAAGCATAGTCTGAAACTGAGGGATACTCAGTCTCTGAGAGGGGAAGATCCAGGCCTCACCTGGACAGTTTCTGGGAGGTGAAGGGGGTCCTGGGAGAGGGATGCCTCAACAATGCACTCTGAGGGTGGGGGCCCAGGAATGGCAGCCTTGCATGGAAATGCAGGCTGACGGATGACTACGAGATGAGGGGGGAGTGTAGGGGTAGGCGCCCTGGGCCAAGATCCCATTGCTCCTGGTTAGTTATGACTCTCAAAACAGGAGCAGAATAGCAAGGACTAGGGGAGGAAACACAGGGGCAGCCTTTTGCGGTCCAAGAGGTAGAGTCCGCTGCTCTGCTTGCCCACGTTCACAGTGGTGAAGACAGCCTGGCTGCTCTTTTCCTCCATTATCTTCTTTCTCCAGTTTCTTTCTCTCATTTCTTTTCACCTACTGTACTAGGCCAGTGGTTCCCAACCTTTCCCAATAGAAAAATTGCTTTTTAATGTTCTAAAGAGTTACAGGCCTTACCCCCAGTAGCAGCTGTACTCTTGGTATCATTGATTGAGAATGTCTGTGATGGCCAAAAGTGCCTACAGATTCAGCACACTGCCCCAAAGGCTTCTTGCTCGCTGGTCCCAGCATCGGTGGCAGACACACACCCAGCGTGTCCTTCGCCTGCCGCATGCCTTTGCACAGTCTGTCAGAGCCAGGGTGCTCCTTCTCTTCACCTCCACCCCGGGTCCCTTCAAAGTTCAATTCAACACCAACGCCTTCTAAATGCACTGACCTGCACTCAGGAAGACCTGAGTTCAAATCCATCTCACACACCTACTAGCTGTGGGACCTAGGGGTAAGTCACAATCTCTCTCTGACTCAGTTTCAACTATAAAATGGGCTCATGATAGCATTCATCTTCCAGGGTTATTGTGCAGATCAGATGAGATATTTGTAAAGTGCTTTGCAAGCCTTAAAGCTCCATGTCACTGGGAGCTTTTGCCATCCTCCTCCTCCTCCCCATCAGTAGAGGCCATTCCTGATTGCCCCAACTGTTAGCTCCACCCCTCATCACTTTGCGTTTATCTTTAATATATTCTGCATTTACCTACACGTGAACATGTTGCATCTCTGGCCCAGCAGAACGTAAGCTCCTTGAGGGAAGAGACTGTGTCACTTTTCTCTGTGTATTCCAGTACCTGACACACAGTAGGCACTTAATGAATATTTGATTGATTTATATAAAGGATTTAATATAGATTGAAAGGATTTAATCTAGTCCTTTATAGTTTGCCAAGCTTCTTACATATATCACCTCCTGTGATACTCAGAACATCCCTGGAAAGTTGTTGCTATTATTATCCCCATTTTATAGACGCAGAATCTCTCATCTAGAGATGTTCCGGGGTCACACACCTGCTACTAAGGGTCTGAGGTCAGATTTGAACCAAGGTCTTTCCAACTCCAAGACCAGAGCTCTTTCCACATCACCCTGCTGTCTCTATGTAGGATGATATTAGAGGAGGATCCTGTGGTCCCTGCTGCCCAGTGGATGTGGAAGAAGGTGGGGGCAGGGGCAGAAGAAAGGTTAGAAAGAGGAAATGAGAATGAGAAGAAGGAAGGAGGCTGTCTTAAAACTATATTTAATACAGCTGGAGTCCACAATGCTGGTGACCAGGATGGTAAAAGGAAGCCATGTCATTGGAGGACCGGTTGGAAGAAGCATTAAATAGATCTGTGTGATTCCAGATGGTAGAACAAGGATCACGAGTTCACTGGGAGTCAGATCGGTATGATGGAAAGAGCACCGGCCTGCGAGTCAGAAGAACTGGCTTCAGATTCCATTTCTGGTGGTTAGTACCTGTGCATTTGGGCAAGTCATTCAGACTACCCGGCCTCAGTTTCCTTCTCATCATTAATGAGGGGCCAGGACCGGTTGACCTCCGAGGTCTCTTCCAGCTTGAAATCTGAAAGGTCACAAGGAGGTCAGTTTTAGCTCATTGCTTTTTTATAACAAGCAGAGTTTGCTGAAAATCAACCAGTCTGCCGTGCAAAGGGGTGGCCCACAGTTTCTAGAGACAGTTGGATAGTTGTGGGTGAGGACTTGTTGGGAGTGTTGTCAGAGGGATTTTCTTGTCTTCAGTAGAGGGGTGGACTCTCACCTCTAAGGTCCCTTGCAATATTTTTATCTCATATCTCACATCCACAGTCACTGACAGAGAGCAGCTACCTCTTTGAATAAGGGCAAGAGAGGGTTTCTTGTTAAGTATGTAGAGATGAGCCCTTTGCTCAGTCCAGAATGCTAAGTAAGGATAAGAGCTGAGGCTGCAGGCAGGTATGCATAAGAAGGCAGGAATATGGAAGCGAGGGGAGGTCCATGGCCCCGATGCCTTTCTTCTTGTTCTTTGGATCTTGGTGGTAAGTTCACCTCCATGACAATCAGGGAGCAGAGTGGGAATTCTGGGAAGCCGCCTTGAAGTTTTGCTAGGTGCAGCCCCTCGCTGCAGTGGGGGCCTATAGGCAGATAATCAGGAATTTAATAAGATGTAAAAGAAACGTTCTCAACAAAATCAGAGAGTTGCCTGGGGCCAAGGACTGAGAGACATCATCAAGAAAAAGACAGTCCAAATGCTAAACTTCATCCTGGGACAGAGATAGTGTCTGGATTTTGGCTGGTTCAATTCAATCCAATTCAATTTAGCAGAGTATTTTTCTTAGTGACCTATAAGTTTATTTTCTCATCTTTTTAATCGTTTGAAATCAATTTTGATATATTTTTATTTTTGCAGCTAAATTTCCTGCTATATTCCTTCCCCTCCCCTTCCCAAAGAGCCATCCCTTGTAACAAATTCTTTTTAAAGAGAAAGCCAGGCAGCTATGTGGCATAGTGGATAGAGCACTGGCCCTGGAGTCAGGAGGACCTGAGTTCAAATCCAGCCTCAGACATATAACACTCACTCTGGGCTAGTCACTTAATCCCCATTGCCTCACCAAAAAAAAAAAGAGAGAGAGAGAGGAGAGAGAGAGAAAGGAAGATTTTTTTAATCAGGAAAACCAATCAATACATTGGAAAATTGGTGACAGTACATACAATGTTCCACACTAGTAGATCCCTACTTCCTCAGATGTCTTCTTCAAAGTCAATAAGTATTCATTATGTACCTACTATGTCCAAGATATTATGCTTGGAGCTGGGTAAATAAAGACTAAAAGAGACCAATTTCTGCTCTTAAGTATTTATACCAAACTAGGAGAAAACAGGTATACAGATCAGAAAATCATAGATTTGGATCCAGAAGAGACCTCAGAGGCCATTGAGTCCAATATCCTTTTACAGATAAGGAAACTGAGGCCCCCATAGGTGAAGTAATCTGCCCAGTGGTTGGCCTCAGAAGTAGGATTTGAACCCAGGTCTTCTGACCTCAAGTCAATGAACTTAAATACAAAATAGGATCATCCTGAAGATCTAGAGTGGGAAGGGGCTTTAGAGGTCATCTAATCTAATGTTCCCATTTTATAGATGCAGAAACTTAGGCTCAGGAAAGGAACTGACATCTAAGGTCACAAAGGAAGCAAATCAGCAAAGTCAGGCTTTCAACAGTGGTCAAGTAGCGACAGAACATGGAACACCAGGAACAAGCAAAATCCAATGATCGGTGCAAGAAGTTCAAGATTTCTCAGCAGTTGTTTCAGTCTGGCCCACCAGCCCATAGGTCCAGAGTGTGAAGGTAAGCCACAAGTGTGCTTTGGTGCCAGAGGGACTGAACGGTCCTGTCACCTCACTTCCCAGGGGTGGTAATGCGTTGTTCAATGGTTTCAGTTAGGTCCAACTCTTGATGACTCCATCTGGGGTTTTCTTGGCAAAGATTCTAGAGTGGTTTGCCATTTCCCTCTCCAACTCATTTGACAGATGAAGAAACTGAGGTGAACTAGGTTAAGTGACTTGACCAGGGTCATAAATCCAGTTAGTGTCTAAATCTGGATTTGAACTCCTGATTCTAAGCCCAGTGCTCCATCCACTGCACTACCCAGCTCCTAAGGTAGCTACAGTCAGATCATTTGGGGCCAGAAGAGAGGAGCAAAGGAATCTACCCAGAACTCTAGAGCTTCAGTTAGGCTCCAGCTTCTCTGTCTGCCCTCATCTCATAGTAAGCCCCTTCAGGCACACTATGTTTCAGCCAAGGCGGCCATTTAGGGATCCCCCATAGCACACATTCTATCATCTGCCTTCATGCATTCGCACAGATGGTCTTCCATGCCTGGAACAATGCAATCCTTTTGGATCACCCTTCTCAGAATCATTATCATCACTCAAGGCTCCTCTCTGATAATGCCTCATCCATGAAGTCTTCCCCAAAATCATTCCTTGCCCAGATAATCATGCTCAAGTTTTCTGGTATCTGATTATTTTGTCAGATAGCCAGATAGGTAGCATAGTATAGAAAGAGAGTTCTTTACCTGGAGTCAGGAAGAGCCATTCAAATTCAGCCTCAGACTAGCTGTATGACTCCAGGCAAGTCACTTAACCTGTTTGCCTCAATTTCCTAATCTGCAAAATGGGAGACTAACCCATTCCCAGGGTCATGGTGAGGACCAAATAAGGTAATATTTGCCAAGTGTGTTGTAAACTGCTAGTTATTATTCATGTAGGTTCTTCGAGAGTCCAGATTGTTTCATTCTTTTTATGCGTATTCCCAGTGCCTAGCACTTTGCCTAGCCATTTGTAGGTCCTTGAAATTTGCTTGTTGGTGGATTGATCTACAGGCCTGCTGCAACCCCTCCATTAGAATGCAAGCTCTTTGAGTTCAGGGACCATTTTGTTTCTGCTTGTAGTTCAAATACCTAGACAGTGCTTTGTACACAGTAGGCACTTAATAAAAGTTTACCACTTTAAATCGAATTGAATAGAATAGAATCCAGTACTCTAGCTGGTGAAGAACCAAGACAGAGTCTAGTTCATGCTGAGGTTGAATGAGGTGACCCCTGAGAAGGTCCTTTGCAAATGGTGATTCTGAGAAAGTCCCATTGTGAATTATGGTTTCTCCCAGCAATCTGGTTTCTACCAGTTCTTAAGTAAATATTAAGAAAATCAGTAAGCCCTGCTGTGCCACTGTTTACCTGCCAATAAAAAGGGCCTGCTAATGCTGCCGGGGCGGACCCCAGCTAATAAAAGCAGAATGCCAGGCTACACGAAAACTCCCTAGTGGAGTATCATTGTCTAGCTGCTGCTGTCACCCTGCCTACACACGAGGCCATTCTCCCAGGCAGGACAATAAAGCCAAGTGCTTCCTCTTCTGTACAAGTGGGCTCTCAAGATGAGACAGTATAGTTATTACTTCAGATAACAAGAAAGCCATCATCTTCAGCTTGGTTCATAGTTAAGGTCTAATGATTTCTGCTCATAGAACATTTCTAATAGTGAAAAATCCCCATGAGGTTTAGAAAGCGTTGGGAAAGAACAGACCTATAGTAATTAATGGAAGCTGCTCCCCAAGTAACTTCAGTGGTGGCAAGTAAGAGCTGAATCATCAATCAATCAACAGACATTAATTGAGTACTTATTGTATAGAAAGAGTTTGGTATAGTGGATTGATTGCTGGACATAAAGTAAGGAAAACCATCTTAAATCTAGCCTCATACACTTACTTGCTATGTGACCATGGGCAAGTCACTTAATCTCTCTGGGCCAGAGTTTCTTCATCTGTAAAATGAAAGGGTTGGACCCGATGACCTCAAAGGTCCCCTTCCAGCTCTAAATGCCAGAGAGATAAATATTCACAATTCTGCTAACTGGAGGAAGGCAGCATCAGGAAACACCCTGTGAGTGGATGACCACTCGAGCTGTGTGATGAATAAAGCTGGGGCTTCCAAGAGGTCTAGACCAGGAGGACAAGAGACAGACTGATCAAAGGTGTGGAGACAGGGGGTTGGATGATTTGGATTGAAAAAGAGCTTGGAAATCTGTTTAGGCTACAATATAGAGGATGGGAAAGGAAGTAACATGAAGTCAGCCTAAAATGACAGGTTGGAATCACCCTGGGAAGAGTATTTAGTGCCAAAGAAAAGAATGCATTTTATGCTAGAGGAAATAAGGAGTCATTCAAGCTTCCTGAGCAGAGTGTGACAAGGTCAGACCCGTGCGTTAGCAATGTCAGTCTGGCATCTGTACAGAGGGTGGGTTGGAGAGAAGACAGGGAACAGAACAAGTAGAAGGCAATTGTAGCAGTTTGGGTGAACAGTGGTAAGAGCTTGGTGGAAATTCAAGTGGAAATGCAGAACAATCATGGTGGCCTCAAAGTCACTTGGGATGCCTTGAGAGGTGGAAAGGAGCCCCCTATCACTGGAAGATGTCATAATGGGTAGGACATTGCAGTTAGAGTCAAGAAGACTTAGGTTCAGATGCCTGCCTCAGGCATTTGCTAGCTGTGTGACCCTTAGATTACCATTTAACCTTCCTATGCCTCAGTTTCCCCATATGTCAAATGAGGGAGTTGGACTTGCTGGTCTTTTCTAGTTTTAAATTTATGATCCTATGACCAAGTGGCTTCTGTAAACTTGGCAATTCTATCTCTCTTTGAAACAGTCTCTTCTTGGTAGTAATAATTGCTGACACTGACATAGGGTCACCCAGCACTAGGCAAGCAGGATCTCATTTGATCTAAGCAAGGACTCTGTAAGGGAGAAATGAGAGGCACCATTATAGGTGAGCCACATTTTATAGATTAGAAGTTCAGAGAGGTGACTTTTCCACTGACGCAGTTAATAAGGAATCATATGGTCATAGATTGAGAGCTGGAAAAGGCCTGAGGCCATCTAGTCCAAATCCTCTATCTTACAGATGAGGAAACTGACGCTTATAGAGGTTGAATTACTGACTGAAGATTATATAGGGTATGGTGGAAGAGCCAGAATTTGAATCCAGATCATCTGACTCCAAATCTCACACTCTTTCCATAGTGTGAGGGAAATGAGGCTCCACCCTGACCCAGCTTTTACTCCCTTGCTCCCCAAGAAGCTGAGCTAAAACAACAGGTCACCATTTTGGGGTAACAGCCCATCTTTGGCTCTCCCTGGCTGTGATAGGTGAGCTTTTTTGTCTTTTCTTTCAAGAAGCCAGGCCTCTACCTCCCTGTTCACCTTACTCCTCTACATTCCCCCTTTCCTCTATTGTCGTCTTCCCCCCTCCCAGTGCACAGGACCTGGCACAGAGTAAGCACTTAATGAGTGCCAATCTATCTATCTACCTACCCATCATCTGCCCATCATCTGCCTATACTTCTGCTGTTTTTCTGTCTATCCATCCATCCTATCTAAATGGTAGCCCCATTGATGTCAATGAATTAGGACCAGCCCCTCCCCCAGAACACTGACTCCTTCCACCTAAGTTTCTTGAGAACAGGGACTGGTTCATTTCTCATCTTTACACCCCCAAGCACATAGTTGTTATTGGTGTTGGTCCTTTGTTCTCTAGGAGGACCATGATGTCAAAAGGTGATGTCATGACCTGCAAGTGAATTGGATTTAAGTGAGGCAGGGCTGTGCAAAGTCACCAGCCTCACTGTCTCCTCCAGAGCCATCTGGGTCCAGTGGCCAGATGTAGATCAGGACGACTGGAGATGGCCTCGGTGCATGGCCTGGCACATAGTAGGTGTTTATTAAATGCCTGCTGTTGATTGATTGGTAGCATAATCTTCCTGGCTAGAGACTGGAGACCCATGATCTATTGTTGTTGGCTTGGTTTGTTTTGTTTTTAGCTCTGAATGCTACCAGCAAGCAAAGGCATTTTCACCCATGTCAGGTAAACTCAATGGATTCAAAATTTGAATTTCACAGGGTAGGGTGTAGACTATAATTGTGCACATAATTGCAGTCCTGAGATTCATTAGCCAAGCCCCCATATACCCTTTACCTAAGAAAATGTGACTAGATCACCATCTCTCCAAGTCTGAGGATTCCTGAATTCTCCCCTTTTCTTTGTGACTTACTCTCAGACCCCACCTGGAGGGCTGAACTTACATGGATTCATTTCTGGTAAACCAGGAAACTGTCTTGTCTTGTTCTCACACCTGGCCGTTAACCCTCAGCATTCTTTGCAATATCCTCACTGCTACCCCAAGCCTGAGGCAGAGCAGCTGAAAATGTCAATGAGATACCACAAGCCCGAGTGTGAGAATAGGCTCTTTGCCAAAGCCCCAGGCAGGAGCAGCTAGACACTCTACAGAAGGAATCTTTGGGAGGTGAGCTCAGCCCCAGTGTAAGCCTTGCTGTTAGCCCCCTGCAGCAAGGGGATTCACATGACTGTGGAGGCAGAGGAGCCAAGCAGGCATTCTAAAATATGAGGAAATTTGGCCAAGTTCAAAAGAGCCAGGAGTGGGGGGAATATGGCAGCTGGTTTCTTGTTTCCAGTGAAGTAGATGGATTATTGTTAATGCAGCTAGCTTGGTCACCCCAAATGGAGAGCGCCTATACAACAGAGTCAGGGAGGATTCCAACGATGTTGCCTGGTATAGATACAGTGAAAAGGCCAGCATAAAGGTCAGAGAAGAATTCACTGCGAACCAAACTCATAAAAGAAAATGTGTGCCCGGCTTGAGGTACCATCAAAGGTCTGGAGCCTGAGCTCCTGAGTTCAAATCCTGACTCAGAATCTATTTCCTGTGTGATCTTGGGCAAGTGTCTTCAGCCCCATATCTCAGTTTCTTCATCTGTTTCTTCATCTGAAGGGGTCAGACTAGAGGTCGCAGAAATGCCTTCCAGCTGTAATTGTGTAACGTTATAATCAATCAACAAGTGTTGGTCATGACTACAAAGCACCAGTGACCGTGCACAAAAGTGAAAGCAGTCTCAAGCCCTTTGAAAGCCTTCCAGAGGCTTACATTCTAAATGGGAGAGCCACATGTCATACATATGGGTTATATGCAAAACAGACATAAGGTAATCTTTGAGGATGGGGCCAAGCAAAGGCCTCCTACAAAAGGGGATGTTTGAGCTGTATCTTGGATTCCAAAGATTCCAGGGAATCCAAGAGGCAGAAAGGAGGAGGTAGAGTATTATGGGTAAGTGGGACACAGGCATGGTAGTGGGACACTTCAAATGTGAGGACCATCAGTAAAGCCAGTTTGACTGGACCAACGAATGGGTGGAGTAACTTACAAGGCTTCCAACCCAAGATAATGGCCAAGTTGTGAAGACCTTCAGATGGCAAACTTGTGGTATCTCCTCCTGCAGTCTTAAGCCAAGGCAGGCAGGATTTTGAGTGTCCTAGTAAGGCTCAGCTTTTGAACTAAGAATCTGTGAATCTTATTTTAAAATAAGAATGTGTACTGGACCTGAGGTTTTATCGATGTAGGGAAATGCAGGGTGAGAAAACCCCCTCTACTAAGGCAGGTCAACACCTTCTCTGCAACTTATCATAGAGTAGTTTCCAAGTTCAATGAGAGGTTCAGTGACTTACCCAGGGTCACACAGGTAGGACTTGAAGCCAGGCTTTCCCAACTTCAAAGCAAACTCTCTCTACACAACAATATCACCTTTTTTTATAATATAAGATAGAAACAAAACCAAGAAAACATGGGGTTGTCAGTGGAGGATAGAGTTTGAATTCACTTGTGGGTCCCCAGAAAGTCACCTATGGCCCTAGGCACTTTGTAGGTCACCATCTCCTCCAAACTATAACTTACAAGAATCTATCTGTGTTTGATTTTACCAGTCCACCAGAAGACAGTTCAAAACTTAATTAAATTGATGTACTTAGAGAATCCTGGAGCATCAAGTAAAAACCTACTTGAAATAATAAACAACTTTAGCAAAGTTGAAGGATGGTAAAATAAATCCACATAAATCATCAGCATTTCTACAGCAAAAGATAGAAAGAGAAATTGTATTTAAAGTTACTGTAGACATTATAAAATATTTAGGAGTCTACCTGCTGAAACAAACCCAGGAACTAGATGTACACAACTACAAACCACTTTTCACACAAATAAAGTCAGGTCGAAATAATTGAAAAGACATCAATTGCTCATGGGTAGGCCAAGCTAATATAATAAAAATGACAATCCTACCTAAGCTAATGTACTTATTCAGTGCCACACTTATCAAACTACCAAAAAAATTATCATATAGAGCTAGAAAAAATAATAACAAGATTCATCTGGAAGAACAAAAGGTCCAGAATATCAAAGGAACTAATCAAAAGAAATGTTAGGGAAGGTGGCCTAGCCATACCAGATCTTAAATTGTATTGTACAGCAGCAATCATCAAAACTTCTTGGTGCTGGCTAAGAAATAGAGTAGTGGATCAGTGGAATAGGTATGCAAGACATAGTAGTCAATGACTACAGTAATCTACTGTTTAATAAACCCAAATACCCAAGCTTCTGGGATAATAATTCACTATTTGACAAAAACTGCTGGAAAAACTGGAAAATAGTATGGCAGAAACTAGGCATAGCCAAAAATCTTACACCATATACCAAAATAAAGTCAAAATGGGTACATAATTTAGATATATAAAGGCTGATACTATAAGCAAACTAGGAGAGCAAGGAATAGTTTACCTGTCAGATTCTTGGAGAAAGGAAGAATTTATGACCAAACAAGAGATAGAGAACATTATGAAATGCAAAACGGATAATTTTGATTACATTAAATTAAAAAGGTTTTGCACAAACAAAGCCAATGCAACCAAGATTAGGACGGAAGCAGAAAACTGAGAAAGAAGTTTTACAACCAGTGTCTTTGATAAAAGCCTAATTTCTAAAATATAGAGAGAACTAAATCAAAATTTTAAGAATATAAGTCATTCCCCAATTGATAAATGGTCAAAGGATATGAATAGGCATTTTTCAGAAGAAGAAATTAAAGCTATCTATAGTCATATGAAAAAATGCTCTAAATCACTGTTGATTAGAGAAATGCAAATCCAAACAACTCTGAGGTACCACATCACAGCTATCAGATTGGCTAACAGGACAAAACAGGAAAATGATAAATGTTGGAGAAAATGTGGGAAAATTGAAACACTAATGCATTATTGGTGGAGTTGTGAACTGATCCCACCATTCTGGAGAGCAATTTGGAACTATGCTCAAAGGGCTACAAAAATTTGTATACCCTTTGACCCAGCAATACCACTTCTAGGGCTGTATCCCCAAGAGATCATAAAAATGGGAAAAGGATACACATATAGAAAAATACCTTATAGCAGCTCTTTCTGTGGTGGCAAAGAATTGGAAATTGAGGAAATGCCCATCAACTGGGGAATGGCTGAACAAGTTGTGGTATATGAATGTAATGGAATATTATTGTGCTATAAGAAATGATGAGTAAGCAGACTTCAGGAAAACCTGGAAAGACGGGTATAAACTGATGCTAACTGAAGTGAAACAGAACCAGGAGAACGTTTTACACAGCAACAGCCACATTGTGTGATCACTAGCTTTGATAGACTTAGCTCTTCTCAGCGGAGCAAGGATCTAAGACAACTCCAAAAGTCTCATGATGGTAAATGCTATCTACATCCAGAGAAAGACCCATGGGGTCTGAATGGAGATCAAAGCATACTATTTGCTCTTTTTTTCCCCTGCTGTTTTGTTTTGTTTCTTCTTTCTTATGGTTCCTCCTATTGGTTCTAATTCTTCTTTACAACATGACTAACATGAATATGTTCACATGTTTAATAGGAATGTTTATGTAGAGCCTGTGTCAGATTGCAAGCCATCTTGGGGAGGGAAGAGAGGAGGGAGGGGGAGAAAATTTAATGCTCAAAAGCTTATGGAAGTGAATGTTGAAAACTAAAAATAAATAAATAAATTTTAAAAAATTTAATTAAGTAGCATAGTAATAAAAAATAGCAAAAGGATGCCCCCATTACCCCTTAAATCTTGACCTCACTGTACATCAAATACACACACACACATACACACATCCTTCCACAAATGTCCTAAATGGGAAAAGCAGACATTGCTAGAGATCACATGCAGTGTATACACACATAGGCAGTATTTGTTGCCATGGCATTTATGGGAAAGGGTGAACATGAGCAGGGACCTGCATGTTACACAATTATTCAGAAGCACAAAGAATGACTTTCTCAAGCTCTAACTCAGTAAATCCATGTTTCCTTAGAGATCTGATCAACAGATGCTTTATCCAAAATATATTTTCTGACTCTATGCTCAGAGTAATGTTCCATCAGATGTAATGGATTTTTCCCCCTGTGTAGGAGGGTGAAAATGTATTTAACATGGTATTTAAAATGTGGAAGTGGATCAAAAGAATATTCTGATGTCAACTCTGACCTAAATATAATAATGTGTGGTCTTCAGCACTTTCATGCTTTAGTAGGAGGCTGTTCCTTCCTCTTCCATTACCACAGTTTTAAATTAAATATAACTATGGGGGGAGGAGGGAGAAGTAACATTAAATGAATGGACAGATTTTTCCTAGTTTAAAAAAAGTACAGATCAATCAGAGGTGTAATTGGACCATTAAGATAATCTTACAATTAATGAAGATCCTGTTATTTCAGAATGCTTCAGTCAGCTTGCTTAGCAATGCAGACCATGTTTGAATCCACCTTCCCCGTGCTTGATGTGTAAATCTGGCTGCCAAAAACAATTCTTGTGTGGTTAAGCAGCAGAATGTTTCCAAGACAGAATCCTGCTGTTACCTTCTCTATGTTCTACCTCAGTACCTGAAACCAGCTCAGTCTTATCTGTTGCCAGTCTGTAAGCTGAAACTCAGTGGGAAGAAAGGCCTAGACATTCACAAGAGGTCTCACACACTGCCATATCCCTTATGTTTTCATAGAGAGAACAATAAAGCTATCAAAGAGCTCACATTCTAATGGGGGAGAGATGTAAATCTCCAGGAACATACAAGAGGTGCATGTGAAAGGCCTCTTACAGAAGGTGGGGTCTGACCTGGGTACTTAAAGAAGCCAGGAACATGTAAGGGGCAGAGCATTCCAAGCCTCAGGGGCAGTTAGTTCAAAGGGACAGAGAAGGTAGATGGAGTTCCATATTCAAGGAACATAAAGGAAGCCAGTGTCAATAGATCATAGAGTGTATGGAACAGAGTAACGTAAGAAGCCTGAAAAGACAGGAAGAGGCCAGGAAGGTAGAAGGGGACACGATGCCAGTGGGTGTGGAGGTTTAGTACAGGTGAGAGCAAGGAGGTCTTCTGCTAATAAGAGGGAGGGAGAAATACTTGAGGTTTGAAGAGAGAAGAGATGGCCATCCAGTTTGGACCTCTCATTTTGTGTGAGAGGAATCTCAGATATTAAATCACTTACTCAAGGTCACACAGTTAAAAATTAGCAGACACAGGATACAAACTCGGGGGCTTCTGATTTCTAATTCCAAAGCACTTTCCCTGACATCCTAAAGTTTGACCTATTTTTTTTCTAATCTGTTGAATTATTTTTTTTTCTTAAGACTGGGTCTTCCTACCTCCTCCAAGCTTAAAGTATGGCAGCCTCTCACTGACCTGTTCCCACTGCTGGCCAGGAAGGTTTGACCTACTCCATTTCTGAGCCCATCAGCTCACCCCTCTTGCGTCATCCTGACAGGGCCTCACCCTATTGGTGCCAGACATGGTGATGACACCTCATCAGCTTTAGCCCTACAGCAGCTCAGAACTCCCAAACTCAAGCAATCCACCAGCTCCATACTTCCCCCAGTAGAAGAGATTAAAGGAATGTTCCACCACTCTTGGCTTGCTGAATTTATTTTACATCCTGAATCTTTCATCCCATGTGTTAGTTTCATGTCATTTGCTAATTTGATGAACATGCTATTTATGATTTTATCCAAGTTGCTGATAAAAGATTTTGAACTTTACAGGGACACACAGTGATGATATTTTTTTGGCCATAGCAACTCTCAAAGACCATTCACTAGGTTGCAAGCACAGGTTATGATCTATGTTGGTGGAATAATTATTCCCACTGACAAAATCACAAATCTTTAAAATATTGAAGCCATAACAGCTCATATTTCTATAGCACATTAAGGTTTGCAAAGCACCATGAGATGAAAAGTGAAGGAATTATTATCCTTTTTTCGGAGATGAAAAGGCTAAGGCTCAGTTGAAATTGGGTATATAAAACTGTTGCCATTTTAATCATGAAAAAAGATAAAATGTATAATTTAAACAATTTAAACAATTTAATGTTGAACTCTTCAGACAAGTAATTGAGAATCAAAAATGATAATTATACAATAGAAATTACATCAACACTAACTATAATCACTTTATCTATAAGTTTAGCCAATGTAAATTAATTGCTACAAGCAAGGAGACCCAAAAAGCCCATAAAGTACCTTAGTCAGCAAACATCTGACTTACTTGGCAAGTGTAGAAAGATGGCTGCCAAAGACAACACTGGGTTAGAACATAAATGCATTTGTAAAATCTTCCGAAGAAGAATGATGAACGATTATAAACAATATCATCTCATAAAGCAGAGGGAAGCCAAGGAGGGTAACAACAGGTTTAAGAAAGCTGGCCAAGAGGTATCTCTATCTAAGCAAAGTCATGCCAAGGGCATTCAAGGATGGAAATGGAAAAGGGCACAAACAGAAGAGACATGAGAAAAAATGAAAAACTTGTTGTAACAGTTTTCTCCACCAAAGACAGGAGAACCATCTGCCTCACTCGGATCCTAATGTCATAGTCCCAGATGTGCTTATGGAGAAGGCAGAAACAATACAAAAGAAAATAAAGATGTCCAAAAACAGCTGGATTGGACAAAGTGCATACAAAGGAGAATGGTGCTAGAGGCAAGACCATCGTGATGGGTTTGAGGAGCCAACGTGCAAGGTACCTGAGATAGGGAAAGATATGAAAGGCAGAAAAGGCCTCCTACGTTGTTAATACTGAAAAAGGTGATGGACAGAACAAATACCATAGAGACAGATGCCTATTCTCTATCTATACAAAATCTTTAAGAACCATCCCTCCTTGATAAAGATATTACCAGGGGTGCAGGAGGTGTTCATGGAAGACTAGCACCTCTGGTATGAGGGCTGTTGTGCCCTTTTTAGGGCTGCTTATGCACCCTTTGTATCCACCTGATCCACCCAACTCTCACTTCTGACTCCAAGAGGCTGTAGCATGGACAGTGGCCAATCCCAGTAAGCCATTTTGGTGGATGAGCTAAACCAAGTTGAGAGTAATGGAGGGGTGTCAAACCCTTCTGTGAGTTAGGAAGTGTCTACCCCAAGCATGTAAAGACTTCCCCTGGTAGAATGGGAAGATGAGAACAATTTGTTCCAATGGCCTTGAAGGCAGCAGAAGCAGGTGCTGCAGAGTGCTTAGAGCTTGAGTGGACATCAAAGATGCCAAGATCGTCCACTCATCCTGAGCCATCACCAGTTGTCTTGACTTTATCCTGCTACTGGACTTTGATGACTGGAATAGACAGTGAGGCCTATGATTTTGTGCCACTCTGCCTCACTTAAATCCAATATATGCTTGAATCAAAAGGCATCACCCCTATCATTTTACCATTTTTACCTATCTCAAGTCTTGTGGCAGCAAGCAAGTGATAAAGCAACAGGTGCAGATACACTGGGAGGTATAATCACAACACTGCACACAGGTAGCCCAGACCATAGAGGCATCTTCTTACTGGAAACAGCATTGGGATTCAGCAGCCCCCGGGTGTCTGAGCTGCCTTTAAAGGCCACACTGCTTACCTCCTGGTGTAAGGAAGGGGCTAGAAAAGGTGCCCTAAAAATTGTCTGCATTACCCAGCCTTGAACTGTTTACTGCAGCAGGCAGGGATCCCACCCTGTGGTAGAAACACAAAAAATTGTTCACAAACTTCTGCAAAGATGATTCCATTCACCACCTGTACATGGAATGTGTTCACACTTACGGACAACACAAAATCCAGCACAACTGAAAAATGAACAGCTCTTGTTGTGAGAGAACTCAGCAGGTTTCAAATCCAAATAGCAGCCCTGAGTGAAACAAGACTGGCAAATGAAGGCCAGCCTCCTGAAGTTGGAGCTGGATACACGTTTTTCTGGAGTGGCCGCAATGAAGGGGAATGCTGTGAAGCTGGCATGGGTTTCACAATCAAAGCTACTCTAGTCAAAAAAAAAAAACTTGTATGCCTGGCAAAAGGAATGAATGGCAGGCTCATGACAATGTGACGCCACTTGCAGGAAAATGTCAGGCTACCATCATCAGTGCCTCTGCTTCCACCATGATGAATCCTGATGAGGTAAAAGAAAAATTTTATGAAGATCTGGAGACTTTCATCATCGATGTGCCAAAAGAGGACAGCCTTATACTTCTGAGTGACTTTAATGCCAGAGCAGGGTCAGACTACCAGACATGGCAGGGATTCCTTTGGAGGAAAGGAGTTAGAAACAGCAACAGCAGCAGTCACTTACTACTGAAGACTTGTGCATCTCATGACCTTCTCATCACCATTACTATCTTCTCTTTACCCAAATGCAATATAACTTTGTGGATGCACCTTCACAGCAAACATTGACATTTAATAGACTCTATGATTATAAGGAGAAGATACAGATAGGAAGTGAGAGTGATGGAGGCCATGGTGGGGTGCAGAGTGCTGGACTGATCACCGACTTATCCTCTCCAAGCTAAAATTTTGCATTCAAAAAAAGTAGTGGCCCCAAGGCAAGAACCATCCCTACCAAAAGAATTAATGCCAATAGGTTAGAGTGCTTCTCTGAGTGGGAACAGTTCTTTGCTAACTTGGAAGGAAAACTGAGTCAACACACAGTTGGCAACAGTGAAGCAGAAAAGGAGTGGGCAGCTTTCAGAGATTTGTGCACAGCACTACATTTACTGATCCGGGCCAGAATCCTGGCAAACATCTGACTGGTTTGATGAAAATGATGGGGAAATTGCTAAATCAAAAATGGGAACTCTACGGGGTTTACCAACAGGAGAGTTCATCCATCTCCAAGAAGGCAGCATTTAACTCCATCAAAAGTAAAGTGCAAGCAAAGCTTAGAGAGATGCAGGATTCTTGGCTCAGTAAGAAGGCAGATGGAATTCAGTTTTACACTGAGAGTAACAATCCAAAGCACTTTCAGGATGCCCTGAAGGCTGTTTATCTGGAAGAGGCCTATGATGCATCTCAGTGCTGATGGATTAGTGATAAGGATACGATCCTAGAGAGATGGGATGAACACTTCCATAGTGTTCTCAACAGACTATCATTAATCAGTGCTAAAGCCATTGACCATTTACCTCAGATTGAAGTCAATCCCTCCCTAGCTGAATTTCCAACTGAAGAAGAGGTTTTGAATGCCATTAGTCTCCTCTTATGTGGCAAAGCATCTGGTGCTGATTCTATTCCAGCTGAGTTTTTTTTTTTACAAGGTGGGGGGTCCACTGCTCATACAAAATCTGACTCAAATTTTCTAGGTTCTATGGTAAAATGAGGCTTCCCTCCAGAAGTTCAAGGATGCCTCTATTCTCCATCTCTATAAAGGTAAAGGAAATAAGTTGCCCTGTGACAAGCACAGGGTTTCTCTCTTTCAGTCATTGCTGGCAAAATTGTTGCTAGACTCCTCCTTAACAGGCTAACCCTTCACCTAGAAGGTGGTCATCTACCTGAGAGCTAGTGTGGCTTCAGAAAGGGCTGAGGAATACTCAGTTTGATGTTTGCTGCCCGACAACTCCAGGAGAAATGCCAGGAGCAGAACAGAGGTCTGTACATGACGTTTGTAGGTCTGACCAAGGCCTTTGATACTGTCAGTCATGAGGGCTTATGGGAAAAAAAATGTCAAAGTTTGTTTTCCCAGAGTTCATCAATATCGTATGTCAGTTTCATGTCGGCATGCATGCCTGAGTTTAGATAACGGAAGATGCTCTTGTACTTTTCCAAGCAGAACCCTGTGCTTGCTCCCATGCTTTTTAGCATGATGTTTTTATCCATGTTGTCAGGCACCTTCAATGGGAATGAACACAACATGAAAATCAGCTGCTGCAAGGAATAGTTTACCTTTCAGATCTATGGAGAAGGGAAGAATTTACGACCAAACAAGAGATAGAGAACATTATGAAATGCAAAATGGATGACTTTGGTTACATTAAATGGAAAAGTTTTTGCGCAAACAAAGCCAATGTAACCAAGATTAGAAGGCAAGCAGAAAACTGAGAAAGAATTTTCACAACCAGCATCTCTAATAAAGGCCTCATTTCTAAAATATAGAGAGAAATGAGTCGAATTATTAAGACTACAGTTCATTCCCCAATTGATAAATGGTCAAAGGATATGAACAGGCAGTTTTCAGAAGAAGAAATTAAAGTCATCTTTAGTCATGTGAAAAAAGTGCTCTAAATCACTATTGATTAGAGAGATACAAATCAAAATGACTCTGAGGTACCACATCACACCTATCAGATTGGCTAAGATGACAAAACAGGACAATGATAAATGTTGGAGAAGATGTGGAAAAATTGGTACACTAATGCATTGTTGGTGGAGTTGTGAACTGATCCAGTCATTTTGGAGAGCAATTTGGAACCGTGCCCAAAGGCTGTAAAATTATGCATGCCCTTTGACCCAGCAATAGCACTTCTAGGGCTATATCCCAAAGAGATCATAAAAATGGGAAAAAGACCCACATACACAAAAATACTTATAGCAGCTCTTTTGTGATGGCAAAGAATTGGAAATTGAGAGGATGCCCATCCATTGGGGAATGGC